TTTGTAATATAAAAGTATCATAAAATCTTGAAAGTCAATATAAAAATTTAACAAAATAATATACGACACCGATTCTGTGTCTGCAAGGTTAAAAATCTTTCTTTTTTTTGCAGGTGCATAGAGTATGGTGGCTCAGAGATAATGAACGACTACTCAGCAACAGCACAGCAGGTGTTATAGTCAGCAATCAAACCCTAGTACTCCAGGTAAATTTTTAAAATACACATGACTGCTTCTTACTTTTGTTCCTTAATTTTTAATTTTTTTAAGACTCTACATTTTAATACACCTCGTATATTTTTATAATTCTTTATTATAACTAACGTCTACAGTAGAAAAAAAAACAACATATTTATATTGAGTTTGGCATTTTCACCTTGAATTTGTGTTCAGCTGTATTTGGTATTTCAATTTTAACCCATAATACAGTGGTGCAGTATTCGTTAGACTATCAAATTATTCGCATAGTTTCTTTATCCTGTAATAAATGCACCCAATAACGCATATTTGCTTTTATGCAGTCAAACAGCAGTAAAATGCAATACTGAGCTGCATAGCAACACTTTATTTCTATTACAGAAGTGAGAAGGAGTATATATAAGGTGTTCTATTTAAGCATGCACATTAGAGGAATAAACCGTAAAACCAGAAAAGATACAAAGATAATTAAATAAGAAAAAAGTTATGTTATTTAGAAAAACCGAATTTTGGTTTTTATTTTTTTCTGTAACTATTTGAAAAGATTTAAATATCCCTAAACAATTTTGTAAAATTTCAGATAAAACACGTTATGTGTAGAGGAGGGCTAATAGTTATTTTTATACAAGACGATAAAATGGTATTTTATCGTCGACCGAAAAGATACGAGCGATAAAATCGTGGATTAGTGAATTAATTTCGGGAGACAATAATGCAATTTTATCGTCCTGTATAAAACAATATTATTTTCCATAGCGAGTTACGTTTTAAAAAATATTCAGAAATTATTATTTCAAGGAATTTATTAAGAGTAGAAAAAATATTGTGCTGGGTTGGCATTGGTTTCTATGTAATTTGACAAATAAATAAAGCTGTCTCTTTAGTTGTCAGTTTTAAGTCAATATTTTTTAATTCTCTTTCGTGTCGATTGCTGATTGAATTGGAGCCAGAAATGGCTCAAAACGAAATAAGTAAATTACCAACAGATATTCAGGCTGAGGCGACAAACGCCATATCCAAACTACTTCCATTTTAAATCCCGAATAACTTATGAAAAGGAATACAAAAATTTTCAAAAATGGAAGCAATTAAAAAAGGTGCGAGAAGAAATAAAGTTTTTAATCTATTTCTCATTGTAAAGTATCATTTTAATCTACACTTGCAGTTAAAGTACTATTTTATCTACTATTTTTGATAGATATAAGGCAATTTTAACAGTTGCTATGGAAAAAATATATTATTATAGGTATTTCTGTAACTAAATAATTTTAATCACAATTACAGAAAAAAATATAACCATCGGAAATAATAAAAACAGCCAGAATTTCATTTTGTTACACGAAAAAACAGCTTTTAATTACAATAACGCCGAAATTAAAGCATAAATTACATTTATTTGAGCTGTAACAAGATCTCCAACTAAAATTAATTACATTTGCTTTATTAATGCTTTTGGTTGCACGTGGAATAATTTAGTTATTTGTTATTTTATTATTTCTTTCCAACATTTTTATGATTTGTTATAAAGGAGGTCAAATTATAACAAAGTTTCGCAATTTAATGTTTAGTTTTTTTTATAAAAGCGTACAGGTTATTATACACACACCGGAAAAGTCTAGGGATATTACAATTTTATCCAGCCATCATCAGTAATTTTATTATTTGCATTTCTGATATAATAAAATTAAAATAAACAAATAGTTTACAGGACGTATTGGAAATAAAAATGCGAAATTTACCGAATTTTTCAAATTTACCTTGATTTTTGTTGAGCTCAAAAAAATATACACATTTTTTTTTATTCTAAACTGTGAATTAAAAAAAAAGATAAAACCATTTTTACTTAATAAAGGGTATGGCCTCCTCTACTGTTCATTACAGCCCTACATCGTCTCTCCATGCTCCTGATTAGGTTGTCGATCTCTTCTTGAGGTACAGCCTGCCACGCTGCGTTCACGGCCCGAACCAGATCCCTACGAGTTTCACGAGGCATACCCATTCTCAAAATTCTTCTTTGGAGCGAGTCCCATACGTGCTCGATGGGGTTGAGGTCAGGAGATTGTGCCGGCCAGGGTAAGATGTTTAATTGATGAGCATTGATAAACTCACTTACCACTCTGGCTGTATGAGGCCGTGCATTGTGATGCATGAAAATAAAGTTTCTCCCAAAATCATTGGCATATGGTAACACGACAGGCTCAAGAATTAAATCACGATATTTGATTTCTGTTAGAAACCTTTCAAGAAAAACGAGATCGGTTTTTCGGCCTAACTGGACTCCTCCCCAGACCATAACTGTTCCACCTTGATAAGGGTGCATTTCCTGAACATGATCCAACCGAATAAGATTTCCCGGTTGTCTCCATACCCTAAGCCTTCTCGAATCCGGATGAATTCCAAAGCGTGACTCATCAGTGAAGAGAACATTGGCCCATTGTTCATTCGACCACTGAACATGATCTTGGGCCCACAAATATCGTACCTCTCGATTTCCTCTCGTTAAGGGTTGATCTCTCCAGGGGCGTCTGCTTCTTAAGTTGACCTGTCTTAATCTATTGCGAACAGTGTCAGGACTAACGGTTACATTATGTGTTTCCTGGAGAATTAAACTAAGCTCTGGTGCTGTAAGAGTCGGTCGGCGTCGAGCATTTAATTGTAAAAATGATCTTGCTGAGGGGTAGTAATGCGATGTCGCTCTGTGTGCCTTTCAGCAACATCACCACTTTCACGGTAGCGTGCACTTAATCGCGATATTACACTTTGCGTTGTATTTAATGCTCTAGCTACGTCGATTTGGCGCATTCCAGCTTCGAGCATACCCATGGCCCTTAACATTTCGTCTCTGTTAAGATGTCTACGCTCCATAATGTCGTTTAATACTAAACAGAGTTATTTGAATGAATTTTGGCCAGTTATCAAAAAAAACATAGCCAGTACAGGTTAAATTCGAACAATTGATGCTAGGTGTTTTTTATACATTTGACAAAAAATGCACAAACACTTCTGCAAATATCCCAAATTTAGAAATAACTAGTGTGACTACTTCGTTTCAATCGAAGTAGAAAGAATCGGCCTAAAAATATGTGGTTGTTTATTCAAAACATTTATTTTTAACTTTAATAAAATTGTGTAGGTAGGATCAGAAACAAGAAATAGATATCTTTGTTGATGAAGTTGGTCAAAGAATGCCTACACTGAAAAAAAAATATAAGTAATTTTACAAAAAATAAAAATTGGAGCCCGGAGGCACGTATAGCCGCCCATACTAAAATATGTTAAAAAGAAGTTGGTAGGCAGTTCTTTTAGTTTCAAAAAAAAGGAATTTTTTCAATTTTGGTTCCGCGGTTATTTCCCCTATCCGCCACCTGGGGTCGCGTCCGATGGGAGTTTGGAGTTCTCCACACGGATTTTGATGTTATTACAAATTTTGCAATATTATTCCTAATCCTAAATTGAAAACCGCGTTTCCCTAGCTACTGTAATTTTGGAGTTACGATTTTTTTAAATTTTTATTATTTTTGTCTTTAAAAAAAAGACTGTATTGATTTTAAAAAAATATTTTTCGAAATACACTTCCCCAAATCCTCAGAACTATTAAAACGTTTAGAGTCCAGTTCACGGTAACTTAATACGTAATTTTATTCCTTACAGCAAAAGCACTCTAACTCCCTTCATTAGTGTTCTTGTTAAAGTCAGCAATTGGGGCAGCACAGGAAAAAGAGTAGCCGTTGCAGACTGCTTTAATTCTAGCTTTTTTCGCTTGCATTGCAGTGCCCGTCTTGCAGTTTTAAATTTCGCCCATTTTTTTAATTGTTGTTTCGAAATGGTGGAGAAATTCGGTATTTCGTGGTTCGCGTTTCACTAATTTTAAACGGAAAAACAGTTTTAATGGTCTGGTTTCGTTCTAGATAGTTAAAATGCAAAACAGAAAACTTCAAAAACTTCAGCTTTGTGTTATTATTTATTTTATATGCATGTATACATGTGAGTAATGTTTGTATAAGTAGTGGCTGTTGGATAATAGGTATTAATGATACAAGTTCGATACGAACATCATAATGAAACGCGTGTAACGTTAATTTCATTAAAAAGTTCGTATCGAACGTGTATCATTCAAAATTTAATCTACGACGCGACACGAGGGTCGATCCAAAGAGATTTGATTTAATTTAAAATATCAGAGATATCCTCATAAAAATTAAAATTCAAAATTATCAGGTGCCCATATTAGTCGTAGTAACCGTGCTTGTTGATTGTTTCCATTTTGACTTTGACAACTCCATTATTGATGTTCAATTTTGTGTTAAACGTTCAGTTTTAGCAAAAAGCAAAAAATAATATTAATATGGGTGATTCTGATTCTGAAAGTGTCCCTGCGGATATTGAAGGCATTGCGCAAAACGTTGTCGATTCCCTACTTCCCGAAAAATCAAGACAAACGTACGAGCAACAAAATTTGATCGTGTTTTCATACTTCAGAAGAGAGCAGTTCGATATTTATTGGGACTAAACAGTAGAACTCACTGCCAGAATTTCTTTAAAAATTTGAAAATACTGACTCTTTCTTCTTTATTCATTTTTGAATCCGTTTGCTTAATCCGCAAGCACATATCTGCTATCCCGAAAGGCCATCTCATAACTATCCACTTAGGAATGCAGAGCACGATTTTTTATCTGCCAACCCCGAGCTCAGAACTAGTTGTTGTTCAATACTGTACAATGCCAAAACAATGTACAATCATCTGCCTTTGAATATCAAATCGCTTTCATTCTTTCCCGCATTTCGCAAAGCTTTAAAATCATACCTACTGAGAGAGCCCTATATGCGGTAAACGACTTTTTTCTTGATGTTTAATTATGAACAATTTTGTATTTTAAAATTTTGATCATCTCACACACTGGTCAAAGGTCAATTATTTAATATTCTATAACTTTAAAATTATATCTATTTACTGCATACTGTTCTAAAATTGTCCATGTATATTCTTTTTGTAATTTTAAAGACTTA